ATGGTAGTCCGGCGACAGCCATGCACGAGGAGGATCTCGAGCATGTGCGACCCTTGGCGCTGCAATGCGAGAGCAATCGGCGACGTGCCGCATCTACACGCATCGATCAGATCCCATTGACGGTATGATACAAGCGTACATGGTGAGCGCGTTCACATCGACGCGTGGGCTCGCGACGAGGAGACGGACGACGGCCATGTTGCCGTGGTAGACGGCAAAATGCAGCGCTGTCCAGCCGGTGCCCACGCGCGCGTTGGGGTTGCAAGCCGCATTGGCCAAGCAAGCCACAGTGGTGCCAACGTCGCCGGTCTTGGCGGCGGCCAAGAGCGCGCGCCGGTCGTCGCAGGCGGGCATGGACACGTGGCTCGTTGTCCTTTCTTCTGTGCCAAGTGGTCGCGATACGCCAAGTTCACAACCGCCGTCGTGCCGCAGCTGCAAATCTCGTTACAGGACGTTTGGCATCCTTCCAGTGGAGGAAGACGCGCTGCGCAAACGTACTTCTGGGCACAAGCGGGCGTGCCAGGAAGCCGCGCTGGCACCATGCCCGCACACCATTACAATGTCGTACAGTATTCATGGAGAAACAGAAACACTATTTGGCAGTTGCGATCTTGCGCGATGTTGGCCGCGGTGCAGACGAAGCGGTTCAAGTCGCTCGCGGGGACGCAGACCGTGGACCTCAGCGCGCTCGGAGGTACCAGCATCGTCTGCGTCTTTGGCCGCAACGGCTGCGGGAAGAGCTGCCTCGTGGACGCCATCGCCTTCGCCTTGGGCGCGCCGGCCAAGCAGCTCCGGGTCATGCGTCTCGACGAGCTCATCACGCACGGTGCGACCAAGCGCAGCACGTCTGTGGCGGCGACGCTCCATGATGGACTCTCGATTCGGCGCAAAGTCGTCGAGGGCGCGGGCCAGTCGACGTACGCCATGCGAACTGGCGACAGTGCAGTGTACGTCGCGTGCTCGGCCGACGCGGTCCGCAGCGCCTTGCAGATGCGAGGAATCAACATGGCGGTTCAAGACCGATTCATCATCCGACAGGCGTATGTGCTGGCGCTGAGATACGTGCGCTGACCCCGCGTAGCAACACGATCGCGGTCGCGCAGTACACGCCGCTGGAGCTCCTTGCCTTTTGTACGTGGGCGCAATACCATGGTAGGCTCATGGAGCTGTACAGGCGAGCACATCATGTACGCGTCAACATACATGTGGCAGCTAACGTGGGTTGCTTGCGGTCCAGTGGCACGACCAGCTATCGCCAGGAGGTGCCACTGCACATCCCCACATCTCTTGACGCGCGATCGACGACTAGATTGAGGCTCTGCAAGGCAAGATCGATGGAGACACGGATGCGCTCGCTGCGCTGGAGGCCGCGACGGTCGACTTGCAGACGCGCCAGGACCGGTTGCAGCCCTTGGTGCGGATCGCAAATCTCTTGCAGCCGTGCGATGTCGTACAACGTAGGTCGATCAGTTTCTCGAATGGACGCACGCTTGGGGACATCTCGAGGACCGCCAAATGGCGCTCGCAGCACAGGAGCAAGACGTGCTGCACACCCTTGTGACGCATCTGGAGACCCACGAGAGTGACGCGCTCAAGCGACGCGCCGAGTTGACAGCGTCGGATGCGAGCGACGCTGTTTCAGAAGGCGAGCTCCAAGGCATGCTCGCGCAGCACGAGCGCGCGCTCGGGGACGCCAACGACCGCCGGCGTGTCTTGGCGCGAAAAAGAACGCAAGCCGCCTCTAAGCTCGCGCAGGTCCGCGCAGATCTTGTCGTGCTCGCACGTGACGCAGACGCTGCGTCCACGGCGAGCGACCGAGTCGCCAAGAAGCTCCAAAGAGCCACCGCGTCCAAAGCTAAGGTGTGGATCCCATGGGTTCGGTATCCATATGTAGCGGAGTACATGGTAGTGCTTGCGAGACGTGGACGATGCGGAGGCGGTGGTCAGCACACTGCGCGCCGAGCAGGCAGAGCTTCCCGAGGCAGCCGACACAACGAGCAGTGCTGCTGTAGTCGAGTGGGTTGAACGCAAAGCCGAGTGCCGCGCAGCACTCGACCGATCGGTGGCGACGCTGGTTTGTTGGAGATTGTTGTATTTTGTTGTAATAACAGCCTCGGTGTAGGCGCGTCTTGAGGCGGAGAAGGCAGCCCTCACGGAAGCGCAGGATCTGTCGCAGCGTGCAGTCGCCTCCACGATCAAGGCGCTCCACGAAGCGGCCCTGCACCAGACATACGTGGCCAAGAACCTGGCGGCTGCGCAAGAACGTCTGAGCCTCGCTCAAAACGAATTGATTAACAGCGACACTACACTGCGCACCCTCGAGCATGAGCGGTGGCAGGTCCAAGAAGCCGCGCACGAAGCGTCAAGTGATGGGTTTCGCCGCGCTGTCGCAGTGCTGCAGCGGCAACTCGGTGGCGATGCTGTCTACGGTGTTCTCTGCGACCTCGCAACAGTTGATCCGTGTCACGCGGCTGCCGTCAACAGCGTCCTCCAGCGGCACTTGAAGGTCGTTGTCGTGCGCTCGCGTGACGTTGGGCTTGCGATCGTTGCGCACTTTCGCACAAACCGTCTCGGTCGGGTGACGTGCGCGATCGTCGACGAGGTTGCTGGGTCGTGCGCGGACGACGCACCAGACGCTGTCTGCCGTCTCGTCGCTTGTGACGACGCCGTCCGACCCATTTTTCACAAGTACTGTCAGTCGTGGAGCGTCGTGGCGACGTCGGAAGAGGCGCTGGCGCACCCGCGGACGAAGAATGCCAACTACGTGACGCGGGATGGCAATTTGTTTCGAAGCGACGGCGAGATCCGAGTGACGGCGCGCAACGGCGCATCGGCATGGCGCATCCAGTCGAGTGCCGAGCGCGCGCCCGTCGCTTCCGACCCGCCGCTGCAGAAAGAACTTTGTCGGCTTGCTGGCCTCGTCAATGCAGCACGCAAGACACGATCGGTCCTCGAAGCCTCCCAAATCTCGGTGCGCAATCAGAACCTGCAATATACGCTGCTAATTTCGTGTCTAGATGCTCGCGGACGTGCAGCAATTGGACTCGGCGTTGACAACAGCCAAGGTGGCACACTCTCTGCGTTTCGTGGGTTGATTTTGTGTTAGACGTCCGTGACGACACTCGAGCGCACGTTAGAAGGGCGACGCGCCGACGTTCTTCGCCACGAGATGCAGCTGACGCGTCTCGGGCAATTACTGAACGTTGCGCTCGTCGATCGAGACCGCTGGACGCAAGCGTTGCGCCAACTCGACGCGAAGATTTGCATGGCAGCGCCCGACCACGCACTGATTGAGCGCCGCCACGCCTGCGCCACGCGGCTTTTGCAGGCCGAGCGCCATCAAGAGCACGTGGTCAGCGAGCTCGAGGCGCTGCCGCGATGCATTGCGGCCTTGGAAGCACAGCAGGTGACGCCGCGATATGCGACTCCACGATCTCATAGCCATGTAGGTGCTTTGGAGCGACAAATCGAGTGCGATAGCGAGTCGAAAGGCGACGCTTCTCGATCGGCTCGAGGCGTTGACGGTAGCCATGGACGAGGCCGAAGCCTGTTGCGCTGCGCAGCGCACCGCCGCCGAAGCATCCCGGAGCGCTCTCGCTGCGACGCGCGCTGAGATGGACTGTCTGGCGCAGCGTCGAAAGACTTTGAACCAAGAACTTTCTCGTGTGCGTGCGAGCGTGGCGCAGATTCGCGTTGACATGGACACCTATCGCCATCGTCTCGGTCCGTGCGCAGATCGCGAGGCGAGCATGACGTTTCTGGAAGCAAAAGAGTCGTGGGCCGACGTCGTGGCGACGCGTACCCGTCTTTATGAAACACGCCGGTCGGTTCGTGACTGTTGACTTGCGTGTCGTCATCGAAGACGTAGGCTGCTCGAGCAGGAAAAGGCCACCATGTCCAAGGAGGTCCTCATTGAAGCAGCAGCCGTGCGTCACGAGCTGATGGACACCGAGGAACGCGCCAAGAATCTCGCCCAAGCGATTGCGACGACGCTGAAAGCCCGCAACCACCTCATGCACCAGCGGTGCGCTGATTGTGTGCTGTTGACGCGTGCTGATACATCATTCGAATTAGCTACGTGACGCTTACGGATGCACTCGCAACGCTCAACGTGCATTTGCCTGAGATGTATCGGTCCCTTTGCGAGGTAGACAGGTCCTTGTAAGCGGCGTTAGGTGCTAAACACGGGTAGGATGGCGACTGCTACCTCGGCTTCTCGCTCGACACGACCACGCTCTTTGGCGAAGGCATTACGTTCCATTGCAAACCCGACGAGCAGCAATGGCGTCCGGTGCGATTGTTTCTATTGCGTCGCGTTTCCGAAATGCGCTTGTAGTTTGGTAGCCTCTCGGGCGGCCAACAAGTGCTCTGCGCACTCTCGGTATTTGAACACGAGCGCGCATGCACTCATATCTCGGGTAGCTGCTGCTGTCGTTCCAGGCAAGTTTTGTGTGCCCCGTCTTCATCTGCGATGGTACGATTGCCATCGCGAATACTTGTGTTTCACTTTCATTTCAAAGAAATCGACGCGGCGCTGGATACGTACAACGTCGAGCGGCTCGGGAAGCTTCTGGTTGCGGCGGCGGCCAAGACGCAGTTTATCGTTGTGTCGCACCGCGCCGAAATGTGGAACCAGGCGCATGCGTTGGTCGGCGTCTACAGCGTTGGTCGCGAGGGCAGCGCGATCCTCCCATGTCGCTTTCCTGCGCCGTAGTGTCGACGTCTTTATGCTCAATTAAGACTCATTGATGGGCCTCGGAAGAATCAAAGGCGAGGGAGTGATGTTGGTTGTGGAGTCTTGTTTGCAATAGAACAAGTATTGTTCGGGAGCAAAACGTCATTGTCAGCTGCTGCTGTGTGTTGAGCAGACGCTGTCTAACCTATACATATATTCCAACACCACCATCAGCGCCCAACATCCGACCACGAAAGTTTGATGGATAAATCCGGCATCTAAACAGAGCATATATATGGCTTGTTCTCACCTGGGGATTGGTGTGGTGACTCAAGCTTGGCGAATTCAAGAGTGGTGTATTGGTAGCGTAGAATGCACCTTAGACATCGATAGAACACTAGTTTTGTAGAAGGATCGCGCGAAGAGGTGCGTCGAAGGGTCGTGGGTTGCCCAATGCAGGTCGAAGGGTCGAAAACCCAGAACATGGCTCTGTATGCCACCAATACAATTTGATAGGCCATAAATCTCGTTGTGCACCTCAAACGCCGACACGACGAAGCTGTCCATGCTCACCGAGTGCTATTCTATCGCTGTGCCAAGCACGAGCGATTTCGTTTCCGAAAGTGATTTTGACGACACGCGCCCGCACAAGCAGCGGGGCCAATTTAAAACTTCGTTCAAACTTCGCCTCAACTTCGAGACAGCAATTCCAATTGGTCAGAGATCTGCAAAGTCGTCCAGTCCGTACGTCTGAAGCTGTACGTCCGTGTCCGTCCGTTTTATTTACGCACACGGACGGACATGGCGAGGCTCCTCTGGAAACCGGACGGACATGGACGTACAAAAAAAGCTGGGATAAATATCGGACTGGACACGGACGTACACAGCAAATCAAGTGGACAGGAACTTTTGTCCGTACGTTTCGTCCGCAAATGTCCGAAGCAATTTCAGCGTCGAGGAGGACCAGGAGGAGAATGGGAGAGGACTGTGCGAGATTCCAACGACTGTGGAAGGGCTCCAATGACTATCGAATGCCTCTCCAGTCATGACGTTGAAGACGAGACAGGTCTAAGTATAATACTCTTCAATGAGCTCATTTTTCAATTCGACTGCGACCAACGACCATGATCCCGGGAGCCCGCCAAAGCACGATCCGCGACTTCGCGCCTCGAGTCGACCAGCTGGACGTCACGGACAACTGCGGACAGAACGGACCGTTCTGGACTGGACAAAATTCGGACGTACACGGACGGACAAAAAAAA